AATGTGTGTGAAAGTTTCACTTTCATATGCGAGTGTAAAACAAATACCTCCTCATACTTCTGCACTCCTGATACTCAATTTTCAAAATTTCCGTTAATCACTGCTGGATCTGGTTATTCCAACTTTGAATGAATTTCATGCAATTCGAAAAATTTCATTCCTGTATCTTACGTGAAAATAACTGAAAAATGGCAGAAGAATAGTGGAATTGCGTAACAAATTAACAATTTGGATGAAACTTGGTGTAACACTCAACACACAGTTACGAAAGAGTGGACTGATGGTTCAAGAATGTGTACGCCAACAAGCCTGCAAACAAAGGATCGCGACTAATCATTGTGCATTGCGGATGAAGTAAAGGATGGGATCCGAATTCTTTGAAGTTATGAAAAAAAAATAGAGTACTGCAATGTTGACTAGCATAAGAACATGGAAGCTAATATTTTCGAGGAATGGTTTGAAAACACCGATCCCAAATTTGGATGCGATGACATTTGACATGTTTTTGATTACGATCGTCAAATTTATCATAGAACAAAGAACGACAATCATAGGTATACGTCAATGCGTCACTGTGATTGGTGTCATCATGTGAATGTGGATCACAGAACTATAACTTAGAGAAGAATGGCTATTCTTTATGAATAAAACACTTGCACTAGTAGATGACACATAAGGTTGGTGAGTTTGCGCAAATGAACTCAAGTAAGAACCGTACTACTTTTTAGAACAATATTAAGAGCTGCTAAAAAATAGGAGGTTGAATATGTCTATCTAATTTTACACTAAATCACGTATTACATTTTAAAACAAGGAATTATTTGTTATTTTTATTTAAGAACCAAAGTTTGAAATCATTTTTTATTTAAATCATATAACATTTGATTTTAATTTAAATATTACACTATATTTGATGTTTTTTGATTCGATTAAAAATAATGATCACACTCTCACCGAGTGATACAGTACTTATAACATAAACACTTATGACAAAAATGCAATTGAAATAATTTTAAAACAATGAATACTTTCCTACACAGTGGGATCTGGTAAATGCCAGAGGAAAAAATTACTTCCCTGGCTAATACCACGACAGACATTGGATTACATGCATCGGTTGTTTTTCATCAGGCATTGATTTCAAACATAATTTTGTTCAGAAAATAAAAATCCCCTTCTACATTCAAATTAATTAATCATTATAATAATATCTATGTACACATAATGTAACTACGTTCTATTATAAACGTTCTTCAATTGTCCACGCGGTACGAACTACCAAGGTTTACCTTAAAAGGTCGAAGTATAATAAAAACATCTTCAGCAACTTACATTTCCGGTTGACAGCTGAGCACTTAGGCAAGTTCTAATTTTGAAAATAAACTTTCATTGAGGCAGTTTTTATTTTTGTTGTAAGCAGACTTTTCAACTCATTTCATATTTTGTTGCTGATGCTTGATAACGATATTCTTCACTTAGTACTGCAGACTAAATATACATAATTGAAATTAAACAAATTTATATTTCTGATTTGAAAAAGTATTGGTCGAAAATGATTTACTTATTTAATGATCGAATATGATTTGTTAATTTGTTGATTATCAAAAATTATCGATATTTATTTCATTTTTTGAATTGAAATAATGTGGGTGGAGGTATGAGAGAAAAAGAGAAAACAATGAATGAACAACATAAATGCTTTAATATACTAGGTAACAGAATTGAAAAAAAATATCCAAAGTGAGTTTACAGCTCAAATATTTCGAAGGATTATCATATAGCTGCTGTCATCAGATGAACAGGGTGAATTTAAAGTCTTACTGGTGATTAAATCAATTTTCCCAGAGTTTTTCTTATAGGTTGACCTCTGATTTTGTAGCTTTGACATTTTGCCACACTGAAAATCTCATTTTTCAATATGATAAAGTCAATGTTTTGATAATTCTTGAAATGTGGTTTTCTTCCAGAGTAAGATACTGTAAATTATGGTCTGCAATATCGTTGAATAAACGTATATATAACAGTTTAGAATGAACTCCAGCTACAAAAGTTTGCAAAAAAATTCGCCTCTTCAGGTACCTCATTATTCGTTATCCAAAACATTCTTCTGAGCATCTTTTCCACTCCATTACAAACTGAGATAGTGCTCTCTGAAGAATGGTTAGGGTTCCCCATCGCTTTCGCAGAGGAAGTTTTAAACTATTATGTTCCAAATTAGTATCATACAGGCACTCAATGCACACAGAACACTCAATCACATTTTTTGAATATCACATGATTGTAGAGGGACCTGTGTTCGGTTTATTTTCTCCGTGGTACAGATAATATTTGTTTCATCTTGGGCTGGGCAATTACCATTCATGTTTTTTATGTCATGATGAAGAAGTAAACGTCTATATGAAAGAAAAAATTGGAATGCAGATTGATTGTTATTCCAACCATTACGAGATCTGAAAATGAAAAAAGTGTAATAATTCAGGTTCCTCATTACTTGGGTATGTGTAGAATTTTCTTTAGTGTAAATTCAGTATTCATTAATCAGGGCATCATTCAACACCACAACCCCTTAGCGAGTTGACACCATTAGTAAAGGAAAAAGATGCAAAATCTGACATGAAACCAGATAACGTTTTTTCAAGTAATTCACATGCATTAGTACTCAATACATTCTTTTTCTGACGAAATCAACAACTTCCTTCAAATGAGTAACTTTTTTCCTTAGTCTTTTAGTTTTCTCCTTTTCTAATTGGCGTTGGTACCTCAAGTTCTGATTTTTTTTCCTTTCGTTCATGTATTTAGTTTTGAACTTATCAGGAAAAGAACTGAAAAAATTGTTTGATATATAGGGGAGGGTAGGTACGTTTGGGACGTAGGTATGTGTGGGACACCCTCATTAAATAGGAAACTTTTGAATTTACCGCTTTAATGTCTTGACACATGGTTACCGCCATTGCAGCCATTCCTAAAACGAAGTTAGAAGTTCACATGTGGTTTTACTGTTCAACAGGTGGAATTATTCAATTTAGTGGGTCGAAAAGTAAATTTCTAAGTACCAGAAGTTGTTTTTACTGTCAAGGACCATATCTGCTGACCAAGTTAGGTAAGTGAGTCTTAATATTTGTATACTACAGCAAACGATTATATCTACATTTGAATTTTATACACATAACCTATGTTTTTAAAATCAGCTTTGAAATATTCATTGCTCAGTAGGTACGTTTGGGCCACAAGCTGGTAGGTATGTTTGGGACGAGCCAAATGTCCCAAACATACCTACACGCACTGTCCAAAACATACCTACTGTATTTTTAGCGTATACAAATTCAGTTTATAGATGCTGATTTGCTCACTTTGGGGAGGTATATCGAAATACCTGTTTTCTTACTTTTCAGATAAAAATGCCGAGCATTTATAAAAAAAATCAGGCGCAGAATTAAAGCGGAAACCACGAAAAACCCTGAATTTTGATGTTATCCAGAGGGCTTATTCAGATGTTGTTGACAATGGAAAATCAATAAGAACCGCTGCAAAAGATTATGATGTCCCAAAGTCAACACTAGCCAGATACGTCAAAGCAAGAAACTTACCCGATAGTTCCACATTCGATTCTGTACATACAAGTAAACAGATTTTCACAAAGGCCGAAGAAGATCATTTAGCCACTTATTTGATCAAAGCAAGCCATATGCACTATGGTCTCGATCTGAAGCAGACGAAAGAACTGGCTTACCAGTTTGCCATTGCCAACAAAAAAACTGTTCCAGAAACTTGGGAAACTAACAAAACAGCAGGAAAATTTTGGCTTTTAGGTTTTTTCCACAAACACCCAAATCTTTCATTACGAAAACCTGAGGCTACCAGCCTGTCAAGAGCCACAAGTTTTAATAGGAAGAATGTGCCTGAATTTTTTGAGAAGTTAGAAGCGTTGTATGCAAGGTACGATTTTGACCCATCTCAAGTTTTCAATATTGATGAAACTGGGTTTACTACAGTCCAGAACCCCGGGAAAATAATTGCAGAAAAGGGAAAAAAACAGGTCGGTAAGGTAACATCTGCGGAGAGGGGGTCCTTAGTCACTGTTTGCTGTGCTATAAATGCTATTGGGAATTCAGTACCGCTCTTCTTTATTTTTCCAAGGGTCAATTTTAGGGACTATATGCTGAAAAATGCACCACATGGGTCTGCTGGGACAGCGTCGCCATCAGGCTGGATGACAACGTCAATTTTCATGGATTATATGAAACATTTTGCTGCCAATGTTAGTTCGTCCAAAGAAAAGCCTATATTATTAATATTAGACAATCACGAAAGCCATATTTCGATAGATGTTATCAATTTTTCAAGAGAAAATGGTATCCATATACCAACATTACCACTGCACTGCAGCAACAAACTCCAGCCATTGGACGTATCCGTATTCTACGCTTTCAAACGTTTCTATAATAATGAAGCTGATAAGTTGAAAACCAGGCCGCACCCGAATATTAACAGACACTCCAGAGAAGCTGGAGATAGAAGAAAACCTTAAAGCAAAAATGATGAAGAATACCAAGAGGCAAGTATTTAATGAACCAAATACTAGCAAAGCTACTACTAATAAGAAAGGAAGCAAGAGAAAAGCTGATACTTCTTCATCATCATCGGAAGAGGATCAGGAGGTATTGTTTGAAGAAAGTGATCAGTTTCCCTATGAAGAAGAAGTACCTTCCGATGAAAATGAATTCAGTGGTTTTAAAATAAAGGACTTTGTTATTGTCAAGTTCTTTATAAAACATAATGGTACCTTTGTTCACTATATCGGTCAAATTATAGAAAAAAACAGTGGAAATTCTGAAGAAGGAGGTTTTTCAGTTAAATTTTTGAGGAGACGCGAAATTTCCAACGTTTTTTCTTATCCTTTAATAGAGATGATATTCAAAATGTTATTGAAAGTGATATAGTGAAACGTGTCTCTATGGTTACTGGACAGCGTAATTATTTTAAGTTTCATTTAAACAGCCTTAACGTTTCTAGATAAGTCAAAAATTGTTAATAGAGGTTTCCTGTTCACAAAAAGTACATTTATGTCCAGAGTGTCCCAAATATACCTACCTTCCCCTAATGTTGACTATCATAAGAACATGGAAGCTAATATTTTCGAATGGTTTGAAAACACATCGATCCCAAATTTGGATGCAATGACATTTGACACGTTTTTGATTACGATCGTCAAATTTATTATAGAACAAGGAACGACACTCACAGGTATATGTCGTCGCGTCACTGTGATTGGTGTCATCATGTGAATGTGGATCCACCCCGGTTCTACCCCGCTCCCTTCCAGAAATTTACCTCGATGAAAAAATGGCTTGTGGCAACACTGTTTCAGTCTCATTCTAGATCACAAAACAGCCACACATAGAAATGTAAGTTGAATGGCAACACTTGGTTATATGTTACGCGGCTGCCAAACCAGGGATGGCGACACTATCGAGGTTTCCTCTAATAAATCACGTGCCTTCTGCGCGCGCATCATCCAAATTACTGTTTACAGAAGAAGAATGAACTTAAATTAGGTACGACGTCCGTTAGTTTTGTTGTGATAATGTATAAATATGGTTTGGGACTGTTTTCCTTTTCAAATTGTGTTTTTGCTTGTGTACTGTCAGTTTCATATTCTTATTTATCGTAATGAGTACTTCCGAACATAAACGATATCGAAAAAAGTGCTGCGTTCCTTCTTGTGAGGATCACCCAATTAAAAAGAAATATAAAAATTGAATAAATGAATAAATAACTGATGAATTCATGAACAAGATGATATTCATCAATTCAGCAACACACTTTTGTCTATTTTCCACGATAGTTTTCTATTCGGGACGATACCAATCCACATGAGATCGAAGAGCGTCCAATGCATCCCAAAAAAGTCACTGTTTGATATGGATTATCGTTTGATATGGATTATCGTTCCATATTTCTTTGTGTCGAAGGTAACACCTAGATCGGTGAATGTGAAAGGCCGTTGAAGTGGAATATCGTTCATTGAATATTGATATTAAAATGGAGGATTACTTAGTGTGTATGTCATTACATTATATTTACTCGCGTTTAAAGGAAAATTATTGCGAAAACATGAAACGATAGATATTATTTTCATTATTACAAGAACTCCTGAATCAGATGTGCTCAAATTATTACCGAATTACGAACTTCATTTTCAGTTTGAACTAACGTCAAGTAGTTTCAGTAATTGCAGATGTTCTACCAACTCATTCCGGTTGAATTTCGGCCATTGTTCGAGATGATACAAACTAAAGGAATGATTAATGGTGAAGGGTCAAAAAAGCGCCCGTAGGAAGATATCCATTGTGCGAGTTGAAACCCACGGTGACAGTACGAGAAAGCCTTCTATTGTTTTAATAGTCCCGAGCTGTCTGATTTATGTTACACCTAATAAAAAATGAAAAAATTGTAGGATTTCTATTTCGAAACCCTATTTCACACATTTCATACTCTCCCACATCGACAAGAAGAACAAAGTGAGAAGCAATTACTCACGACCCCATTCCCGTTTTTTATGTGCCCTAGAATATAGATCGTGAGTTTTTTTTCCATGTAGTTTCAATGCTTGCAATAGAGTGATGGAGGCTTCAAACTGTTTTTCATTAGGTTCACGGGAAATTGTGTTTCTATAAAACATGAGTGATTCTTTTGAAAGTTTTTCGAGTTGAATAGAGACATTTTCTTAGCGGATATATGGCGCGGTTTGTTATACTAATTGGTTGGACACATTTTCAGAAATTTACCGGCGTGAAATGCGAAGTGTAAGAAAATTCCGCATTTTTGAATGTTTGGAATAGAAACTGAATGAGAAAAAGTGTTTTTTGTTAAATCAATGTTCATGAAACTTACATGGAACACTGTCTTCCTCAGTGGCAAAAATCCGATGTTTCGGAATGAAACACTGGACTTGTTACCTCTTCAGCATCAATCTAGATAACATTACAAGGTAAAATACTCACTACATTCATAAAATTACAATTTCAGGTTACGAATGAGTTGAATCTACTCATGTCATCGATGACAATATGTAATGATATTCATTTGGTTGAAATCCAGCCACAGGAATCTTGTTTAAATTGAAAAGGGTATACTTTGAAGAGAGATATAGTTTTGAGAAAAAAGTTTTGGCTTTCCACTTCTCGATTTAATACAACAATGTAGATAACAATGTAATGTCAGGTTCTGGTCCAATGAAGCTACTTGCAGCACCCTTCTTTGCAAGAGAGTAAGCAGCCTCATTGCCTTCCAGGCCAGATTGACCAGGAATCCAGACCAGAGACAATCTGTTGAGTCTTTCTATCGAGGAGGGTCGTTTTTGGTAATTTGCTCCCAATTTAGACGTTGCTTGGTAGGAGTCAAGAGCTTCCAACGCCGCTTGACTGTCTGATATTATTTCTATTGACCTATGAGGTTGGATTCTTCCAATCTCTCTGCTCCCAATTCAATAGCGTAAATTTCCGCTTGAAATACAGTCCCATATGTTCCTAGGCAGGTTGATAGCTCTGTCCTGGGTCTGCAACTGAAAACATCTGCACCAGAACCGGAAGGTTTTTTTGATCCATCTGTGAGCCAATAACTATCTGCTCTCAATATTTCCTTCTCCCGGAGGATCCAGTCCTCTCTACTCGGAAACAGTACTTTATAAGGCAGTTCGTAGTTGACAGTTGGAGGCATGAAGTCAGAGGTCATTTCTAGGATGCTGTGACTTCCAGTGTCAACCAACAATCTGTTGCACTCTGCATTAAATTGATTTGTGCAATTGGCAATGTGCACAAGGCTATATGCAGTCCATCTGGACTCTCTCTCTCCAGAAAAATATGGAGAGGAGGTAGACCTAGAAGGATCTTTGTGGCTGCTGACGGTGTGGTACTGATGGCACCACTGATGGCTAGACAAGCCTGTCTCTGCAAGCCAAAGAGCTTCGGCTGGGTCATTTTCTGTAAAGCCTTCGGCCACCAGGCAATTGCACCTTAAGAGGTCATTGGTATGACAAGCATCACATGAATACAATGGATTCGTTTGGGACCCAAATCCCAAGTTTCTCCACAAATCCTTTGTCATGTATATCGGAACAGTGTGGCTCTGTGTGACACTTTTTCCAAATGAGCGTTTCAGGTGAGTTTTTCATAAAGGACAATGCTAAGATATTTCACCTCCATTTCAAGTGGAATGACCTCACCATTGAGGGAAAGTGGCGTTAGATCGTCCATTTTTCTCCTTCTCGTGAAGTGTATTGTGACAGTTTTGCTGGAGTTAACAGACATCTGCTCCCTCAGGCACCAACTGTGATCCATAGTACCTTTCCCAACGTGGATCTTGCCAAGATAACAAGGTCATCTGCATAAGCTTGCAGATCTACTTCTCTTTTAACAAGGGCATGTAGTTGTCTATCCATCAGGAGTGACCATAGAAATGGAGATAGTACTCCACGTTCATCGTACTCAAGAGGATATCACAAGCTACCCTTGCCTACGTAGACCTTGTTAAGATGACAAGGTCATCTGTATAAGCTTGTAAATCTACTTTTTTTGGTCGAGTGCATCAAGCAGGCTATCCATCGGGAGTGACCACAAAAGGGGAGATAGCACAGCACCTTGAGGGCAGTCTCTGGTTAACCTGAACCTAATGGCCTTCCCTTGAAGAGTCGTGGTTGCAGTTCTGTTTACCAGCATGGCATAGATCCAGCTAGTTATGGTCGATTCTATACCTTTCCTAGCCAGAGACGATCCTATAGATCATAGATCAAATGCTCCTTCAATATCGAGAAATACAGCAACCGCAAGGTTGTCTAATGCTAAATCTGTCGATTTGCCGGTTTGATAAGCATACTGGTGGTTATTTAGGGGGAATGCATCTAATGCCACCCTCCTGATGTGTCAAGTGCTTTCATTAGAAAGGATGTAAGGGTGATTGGTCGTACCGATTTAGGGTGTGGGACTTTGTGACTCACTTTAGGTATATATACCACCCTTGCTGCCAACCAACTGGGTGGTATAAAGTTCCACGCCAGACTAGCTCTATACAATTTTATGAGAATAGTTGAAATTATTTCCAGTTCGTTTTGAAGAAGAGCTGGAAATATATTATCCTCCCAAGGAGATTTGGTGTTACTGCCTCATTTGGACGTCCCCTGCGTTCTGCATCATCGGTTTCTGCTGGAGCGGAGACCTTATAACACTCTCCAAGCCATTGTTTCGCTCAAACGGTATTTTCTCCCATCAAGAAGCAGCGTAAAATTATAACAAGAAATTGTTTCTGATCCATTGTTTTGAAAATAATAAAAGTAGTGTCACTCTCAGCACGATAGCTCAAAAACTTTTCAGCTCATGCAGTAGTTGTTTTGGGAGGGCATTTTTTCCAGTTTGTGTCCGATAGTTACTCTTTTGCATGATCTACAAATCTTTGTATACAGTCAATTGATTGTTCTTTTTCTTTTTTTGGAATATTACCACATTTGTTTGTTGTATGAAGAAGGAGTAGAAAACGAATTTTTTTTTACAAGCAATAATTCTCACGATCGTTTGATAGTTTTACAGTGTTGTCGAGGATTTTCTCCGTTTAGTCGAAGTTCAGAAATCATTCAGTTCGTGTTCAATGGAATGATTATTTTCATTACACTACCAATTGACAATTAACTGTTATATATATACTCCTTCAATTTTCCATCACATACTCTTTGTTTC